GCTCGTGGCAGCGACTTGCAGTGTCACTGCCATAGCTGATGAACGCGGGAGTGCACACAGCTTCACAAGTACATTTTTATTTGTTAACCCTTCCAGCAAGGGCTGCACTTTCACACAGCACTATAAATACTCTTCACATCAACCACTCTGTCAAAAAAGGGGAAAGGAAAGCTTGTTACAGCTCCGTGGCTACTAGGAGTGTGTCACGGTTCTCTTAACTTGCTGTTACATCCTCCCTGACTGCGAGGGCTTTTTCCCCCCCCCCCCGTGCCCAGCAGGATCTGAACAGGACAGCCGCTGACAGGAGGGGGCTGCCCGTGTGCCTGCACCTCCGGCAGGTGCCTTGCATTGCTCCCGCTGCCAACGCCTGCTTCCCCACAACGGCTGCTGCTGTTCAGCGACCAGATCTCGGCCTTCACGGCTGGTCGCTCCCCACAAACACGGAGCTGCTCACAGGGGGAAAGTTAAGCCAGAGTTAAACACAAAAGAGCAGCTCAGTGAGGTTCGTTACTGTCACGCAATCGAGCAGTCCTCTCTTGGAAGGCGGCTGGCTGAGGTACGCTGCACTCAAAACCCTAAAAGCAGAAGGCAAGCAAGGTCAATCGCTTCGTGTCCCCCCAGCGCCGCCAAAGCACCACACAATCGGTGCCCGTTCCGTGGCCTGAACTCCAGCTGGGGGGTGGGGGGTAACGCTGCCCCTGCAGCTGGGCCACTGCAAGTCCCTGCTTTTTGTCACGGGGCCTGTCCTTATGGTGCTTGTCACTAATGAAAGATGTGACTTCTAGTTTTCAGCCATGTTATTTAGTGAAAAAATACAAATACATTCTTCAGGCGACTTGGGGGAGAAAGTGCATGTGCAGTGGTTAAAAAAACCCATTTTAAACGATTTTTCTTTGTACTGCGGTCAGGAAATACTGCAGGCAGTGGTTCCCGTTTCTCACGGAACCACGCTCAATCTCGATTGCTTTGTACGCCCCTTCAAAACTTGCTGAAAAATGAGCCCACCCATCTTCCGACCCCTCCCCTGCACCGGGACACATCTCCCTCCTCTCCTGTACCGGTACAGTTCAGCCAGGCGGCTGCTGGCACCAGCCCTTTCCTCCCGGCGGCACCCAGTGACTTGCAAGTCGCAGCTCGGGGATGTTCTGCCCTGGCCCGCCGGGCGTCTCCGTTGGGTTGATGCGTTGCGAGGGCAGGACAGTGGCAGTGAACTGGCAGATCTTAGCTCATGTCCATCGACTCCGGGGTGGGTAGGGAAGCAGAATCTTTCTGAATGCTCTCAAAAAGCGACGCCATTTCAGGATTGGATCTGATCTGAGACGAAAACTCGGCCATCGCTGGACTTTTCTCTACTTCAGGGATGGTCAGGAGAGCAGCTACCGCTCTCATGGCGGATCGCTTCAGCTCATCCTGCTTCTCAAACTCCTGTTTCACGGAACCAGCTTTCACCTGCCAATCCAAAGCACCGTTTTCAGTTGCGTTGAGAAAAGACAGTACAGGCACAAAGAACCGGGCACGCCAGCAGGGACGGAGCGGGCAGACTGTCTGCCAGCCGGAGGAGAGCGGGGAGCAGGCCACGCAGCAGCAGTGACAGAGAAGGCCAACGGCAGAGGTGGCTTTGGGGCAGAACCCGCCCCCACGTGCCGCGCTCTCTGCCCGATCTTACCTTCG